TTTCCTTTAAATGTGATCTGTTTCTTTTCTTTAGCGGCTTTTAGTATACTGTTGCTATGCTGAATTTCTGGGATCTTGATTATTATATGTCTGGGTGTGGTTTTCATTGGGTTGATGTTATTTGGAGTTCTATATGCTTCAGTTGCGTGAATGTCAGATTATTGCCCCATATTTGGGAAGTTTTCTACTATTACTTCTGCCCATATTCTTTTTATATCATTTGTATTGACTCCTTCCTTCTCATTGATGCCTATTAGTCTCACATTGTTCATCTTTGCATCGTCTTGCAGGTATCAAATTATTTTTTCCTGCATCCTAGTTGTTTTAAAGAGATCTTTTCTTACTTTTTCACTAGCTGCAATGATGTCTTTAAGGTCAGAAAGCCTATTTTCACTTTCCCTCAAACGGTTTTGCCAGCTTGTGATTGAGGTTTTAATTTTCTGTATACCACTTTGAATCTGTTTCATACATTCTATTTCTTTCATAAATTGCTTATTCAGGGGTTCCATCATTTTTATATTGTGCTCTATTTTTTTTAATCAGTGTATTCTTTAGAAGCATTTAGTACTTCTTTGATTATAGTTATCACTAAAATTTTTAGTTCCAAAATTATTTCTGATCTGATTTGTTCTATACCTTTCTGCAGTTGATTCTTTACTGTCAACACTATTACTTCAGAGATACCTGGTGTGTGATTTCCAGTTTCCTCAGTGCTAGTGTCTTCTGCATTTGTACTGGGTGGACTCAGGGCCTGACACTGCATTTTATTCCTTCTCTTTGTCATTTTATATACCACTGTCTTCTGACCTTTGGTGTAGAGCTTAGATAGAGTTATTACCTTAGCACCAGGTCCAGATCTATGAAGTTCGGATTCCTCCAGGTGGGTGTTGTTTGGATCTGGCTGCTGTGCTCCACTTCTTTCTGCTGCAGGCGTTAGAGTTGAACCTTTTGTGTCTCTCTTGCAAGATGTTCTGCTCCTGAATCAGCTGGGTGGGTCTTGCCTCTAGTCTCTTTGCAGGGGAGTACTGCTGAAGGGTTCCTCACTGGGCCTGCACTCTGGGCCTAATGAAGATCCGCGGGCGCTGGGTGGTCTCACTCACATGCTGGGCCTGGGCTCTGGGTCTATTCAGGATCCGGTGGGCCCTGGGTCATCTCACTCACTCTCTGCGCCTGTGCTCTGGGTCTATTCAGGATCCCGCGGGCCCAGGTCATCTATTTTTTTTTTTTTTTTTTTTTTAGTACCAGGGATTGAACTCAGGACCCTGTGCTTGTCATGCAAGCACTTATTCTACTGAGCTATCTCCCTGGCTCCCCAAAGTATTCAATTTAGTTGTCTTGTAGTAAAACCCGTGTTTGCACTCCTGTTTCATATCTGTGACCTTCAGTGTTATGCTGCTGGCACCTCCAGCTCTGGAAGCAAGCCTAGCTGGTTCTGCCTGTGGAGAAAGGTCGTGGCAGCAGGAATGGTGCAAGGGCAGAGGACAGGGTGACAACATAGAGTGAGGCCTCATGCTCCCAAGGTGTGGTCAGCATGCTTGACCCAGAAGCAGGTGGCCACTCTCTGGCCAGCTGGTGAAGAGAGCCTGTCTTGTGAGTGTTGACATAGGGACTTACAGAGCTTACACTGTCCACGGGTTACTGCCGTTGGCCGTGCAGTTGCCCAACTCTTTATTGCAGTGGGACTCAGAGGGTGACAATGTGCACCAGGCAGCATACTAGACCTGGAAGATGCTAAGGAGCACATGGCCTGGGGCTGGGTGGGTCTGGCTCTTATACCTGTTTTGTTCACCTGTTCAGTATTTTAAGAGTTTCGCTTCAGAGCTTACATTAAACAAACAAACAAGCAGGGAGTGGTCACATAAAAACCTGAGCTTTAGCTTCTTTTGTTACACATTTGGCTCCACTGGGGTACATTCTTTTTATTTTTATTCACTTATTTTAGATTTTTTTTTTTTTTTTTTGGTGTGTGTGTATGTGTGTGTGTGCACGCGCATTTGCATGGTCTCACTACAGAGCCCAGACTCATAGTGATCCTCCTGATTTCTGCCTCCCTAGAACTGGGATTACAGGTGCACGACACCATGTCCAGACTCCATCGCTGGCTCAGCGCGCCCAAGGGTGAGACCGGCATGGCATGCAGAGCCAGGGACTGAACCCTTGCCCCTGTGCTTACCTAAGCAAGTGCTTAGTCTGTTGAGCTATACCATCAGCCCTTACATTCTTTTTATTAAAATCTTAATTATTTATCTATTTATTTGGTACAGGGTCTCACTACACAGCTTGGACTCATAGTGATCTTCTCCTAACTCAGCCTCCCCAGTGTTGGCATTATAGGCATGTGCCAGTTTCAGTAGCTGGCATGGCATGTGGTATTGGAGATCGAACCTGGGTCCTTGTGCTTGCCAGGCAGGTGCTTAGATCATGGAGCTATCTCCCCAGCCCCTGGGCTACATTCTTGCCAAACTGCTTTGTATATTTTGTGCTATCCAACATTAAATCCAGCAGCTCAGACTTCCAGTTCAGAAAAGATGGCATAGATGGGTTGTTGTGCTCCTCCTACTAAGTACAACTAAAAACCCTGGAGAAATGAGAGCCAACCGAAGGAGAGCTCTGAATAGTAGAGGAAGGCACACTGGGTAGGGGACCCCAGACAGAGAAAATCCAAAGTGGCAGGGACCTTGGAACCCCACACTGGACCAGGCCCCAGCTTCCTGCCTCCCAGGTAGGCAGTTCTGTGGCTGTCTCATCAGCATTTTACAGTGGCCATCAAAGAGCACTTCATTATGTCATGAAAAATTCTCTGAAACAATGGAGAAAATGGGAAATCTCAGCAAAGAATGGAAGTTACAACTTAAAAAGAGTGATTTGTGTTAACATTTAAAGCAATTACTATGTTGTTCATGTGAGAAAAATATAATGAGCAGATCCCAGGAGTAGTAGTTCTTGCCACTCCGATGTATCTCGGAAGACGTAGGTCATGGATAGAAAAGCACTTAGGGCTCGTTTTCCCCTGGGTAGGAACATTCACAAGGAACTTGCTGCAGCGTGGATACAGATTTCTTAGTCACAGAGCAACACTAACAAGCCCTTCATGGTGACCTCTGAAAGCCCCCAGACCCAAAGGGTTGGTCAGGTAACACCCTGCTGCCTCCTCTCCCCATGCCCAGTTCTGTGGGAAGCAGTACTGACTTTATCTTTGGTGTTTGCAGGTGGTTTCCATCTTGGAAAAGAAACATTCCCGAGCAGCAACAGGCATCCTCAAACTCCTGGCTGAGAAGAACAGTGACCTGTTTAGGAAATATGCCCTGTTTTCTCCCTCAGACCACCGAGTGCCTAGAATTTATGTACCTCTTAAGGACTGTCCCCAGGACTTCGTGACCCGGCCCAAAGATTATGCCAGTACCCTGTTTATCTGCCGCATTGTGGACTGGAAGGAAGACAGCAATTTTGCTCTGGGGTAGGTGATCTCTGGTAGGAAAAGCTCAGTTTAGATGGCCTTTTGGTGACCTTTATGTGTACTTTAGTTATTATATGCTTTATCAAAGCCACAGTATTCAGTGTAATCTGGTCCTGATTCTTCAGAAATTGCCCCTAGCTGCCGCTGTAGGTTCTCTGAATTCCTAAGCAGTCACCTTATCATTTTTGTTTTTTTATTTTTTGGCCTAAAATACAAGCACATTCTGAAGCTCTGCTTCTGTCCTGTTATGTCTTGAATCCCCTCCAAGCAGAGAATTCCTTGTACTGGACAGTCAGGTTTTTCCTTTCAGACACTTGTGTTAAAATAGGCTAAGTCCTATTTTAGGCATATTCAGGGGAATTCTGGGTTATTTGCTTTAAAATGTAAATATGAAACAATGTTTGAATGGTAGTGTTTTTTGATATTGAGCTTCCAATCTGATTAATGCTGAAGTTTCACCTGTGGCATTAAAAACTGTATTTTTCTATTGTAGAGAGGAAAGCATACCATGTTATTCAATCTATAAATATATATGACATTTTGAAGATAATGCTGTACCTATTTTCTTCTTATAACATACTCCTTTACAAAGAAAAATAATATTGTTTTAGCTGTATCCTTAGGCCTTTGTTACAGATGGGTCTGTTTTTTACTTCATAGGATATTAAAATACTGGTATGCACCTACAAGAGTCTCTTCCCATATACCTTAGTGACTTGCTCCTTGGTCCCCTGTGTTCAGGCACAGGGCCCTGGTTGGGGTGTTCTGTGCTTGTGGGGGCCACCCTGGGCGGAGGGCTGCAGTGTCCTGCTTTTATCAGGTGTTCTTTGAGCTCAGCCCTTTATGCTCCTAAGGGGGCCAGGTCAAGTCTATGTGTCATGCTGATGTAACATAAGTGACACCACCCTATGCCAGTTTTCAGTTGTGAATAATAGAGGTGACTGACCTCAGAGCTACTTGGGAATGGCTGCACGTTCTCTTCCTCTTCAAGCTAGGATTGAGAAGCTATACTTGTTAGACCTCACTTAAGGCCAGCAGTGACCTCAGCTTCTGGAGCCCCAAGGAGCCCACATAGGCTCACCTGTTGCTCATTAGCAAATCAAAAGGCCAACCATGGCTGTGCCGCCTGGCCCTTCTGATGGTGCCTCTGTACTCCATGCAGCGGTGCACAGGGAAAACTTCACATTGGCCCGGAAGCCCAGCCTTGTCTTTTATCTGCCCTTCTGCCATGCCCCATTGTGCACACTCAACTGGACTGCTTCCGTAGCTTTCAAGCTGGCAGGCAGAGCCAGGAATCTTCCTGGTGTGGGTTTCCCTGGGGACTGAACAGTCTGGGAGGTGACAAGCTTACTTCATCTCAAATGTGAGGTCAGCACCTGCCAAGAGGGAGGGGAGCCTTGGAGCCACAAGCCCATCTGCTAGGGGCATAGAAAGCACATCAAGAACTTTTCAAAAAAGAAATCTGAAGATCATGTGTAGATGAAGAGCCACACTTTTCTACCTTCTTAATATAAGACATAAAAACTGTCTTTTGGGGAAATAGTTCTTTGAAAAATCTATGTGGAAAAGAGAACACATGAGAAATAAAGGTGGTAGCTTTCATGGTAGAGTTCTCAGATGACATCGTTACATGAGGGGAGAGGCTGCAGCTGTTGAGCATGTTGGTGGTCGCCTTGCCACTTCGTTCTGGCTATCAGTTACTGGTCTTTAGGAGCTGAGGTCACCGCATCCCACTCTGTACATGCTGTGCTATGACTGCTTTGCTTTTCTTCCTTTCTGCCAGGCTCTGCCTGCGAGCAGAGGTGAGGAAGTTGGCACTGTGTGTGTGTGTGTGTGTGTGTGTGTGTGTGTATGTGTGTACAGCATCCACATAAACTATGTCTAAAGTAACTTAGCTAAAGTGGCTGCCTTCTGAATTTCCTCTTTGCCCCATCCCTCTGTTCTTAACAGTACTGTATTCAATTTCTCAGGCCTTTGTCATTGCTACTGATTATTCAAGTCCAGTGTTATCTCTTCTGTAGTTGAATTTACTTCACCAGACATGTTTTGGTTAACTATGTGTATGGCACTGTGCTGTATTATCTGAGAAATACAAAGGTAAATAAGCTATGGCTCCTTCATTCCAGGAAACTATATAGTCTAATGCAGAAAGACTTGAATGTCACCAGGATAATTTGATTCTAAGAAATGAAATAATTTAAATACAAGTGGAGATTATTATGAGAAACTGGTGGTTCTTTTAAAAGCCAGCGCAAGAAATGGAAGAGGTTTATGAGAACCTCAGGACTAACAAGGCAGCTGAAGAATCTGGGCTCCTCCTCTGCATCTTGAGCAGCCCAGCCATGCAGCCTCTTCTCCCGACTTTTTTTGGCTGGGAGCTGTGCCCTCTGCGGTGCTGTCTCTGCACCCCCTGCTCAGTGGTGTATGTGGCTCCATACCGAAGGCCAGAGCACGTTGCAGAATTCTTTGGGTAGGAAATCTTCCTGATCTGGTTTAAGAGTGGTATTTTCCGTGGCCAATAGTTTTAACTAGAGATGGAACTCCAGCTTTTGTGACCTGCTGCTCCATTATTCAGGACTGTGAGACTCAACTGTCTGGGAGGAAGCGTGAGTATAGCAGATAACCCAAGTGGATGCCTCCCTGAACAACGCCTATAGTACACAGCAGGCAGTTGTAATTTCTTTCTGGGAATACAATGCCTGAGCATTTAGAGAAGTAGGTGAAGGAGGAACACAGGCTCATCTCTGAGGAGCAGAGATCTCTTTGCTGTAAGATCTCTTGGAATGAGTGTACAGAGTAAAGAGTGACTGGGAAGGGCCACGACTGGTAGACACAACCATGGGCAGTTCCAGGAATTGGAGAAGGTGGGAGGACCTGTGAGGACCTGAAACCAAAGTTCTGCAGTGGGGGGAACAACGGTGAAGGGATTCAGATAGACTGAGGAAAATTCTTCCAGATTTGATGGCCAATTAGAAACGGACATGAATGAGAAGGCTGAATCTTAGGCTCTTAAAGGAACTTTCAGGTCCCAAACTTGTGTAAGAGGGTAGATACAGGTGGTAACTTAAGTGTGGTTTCCTGAGAACAGCCTCAGCTCCCACCACACATTTTACTTCCACCTTAGCACTTGCAAATCCCCCAGCTAACTGGGTTTGTTCGTACTCCATACACCTGACCCTTCCTTTCCTAGCAGTGGTGTTCTCCTCTGTAGTATTTGCTCGGTGAAATGCTCAACTTTTAAACTCAACTCATTTGCCCACTCTAATCTTCCCTGGCTCCCAGGCCTCTTTTGTGGGTGCTTCCATTGCCTTCTAATAATACCTTGAATGTAGTTCGTGTGTTTGGATTGCATTGCTTGCTTAAATATTTTACTTGGCAGTGAATTGCTTTGCGACAAGGATATCCCCTGAACATTTGCTGACTCGTCAGATGAGGAGATGGAAACAAAATGATGGCCCTGAGGTCTTGAGCCAGGTTAATGAGAAAGATGAACCATAAATCAAGCTAGAAAACTCAGAGGATTTGTTTAGAACAGAAAATGATAAGAACCAAGGTTCTTGGGCTTCAAAATCAACCCTTCATAGCAACATAAACCTAGTATACAGTGGACAGTGGCAATTTAGAAGGTATATATATTTTCTAAAGAGTTGGATTAGCAGGCACTCATTAATAGAATATGTGTTGTCACTAACTTTGGAAGGGTCTGCAGGGAGTCTTCAAGGTCTCGGCCTCCTCTTTGCTGTAAACATTGCTTCCCTCTCCCCCATGTACTTTGGCGTCCCATTGAAGGGGAGCTCACAGAGTGGCATACACCAAACTACAGGCTTTCAGATGGTAGGAACCTGTTTTATACTTGGCTCTTAGAATTTTTGTGAGAGATCTACTTGAGCCTGTTCACTTCTCTATGGGTCAAATCAACCACATTTTCCTGAATTTTAGTCTTTTCATGCTAACAAAAACACAAAGGTAGTCTGTTCTTAGTGAGCCCTGGCTGGCTTTTAGTCATATGTCATAACATATTTAGTATTTTTAATATTTAGTATTAGACTTTCACCCAGGGTAATTAAAAACCACATTGACTGTCCCATTGGAATTGCACTTATATAATCAGATTTAGTTATAAGAGCTTTCCAGTCCTCTTAAGTCGTCTTTAAAAAAAAACCCCACAACTCTGATAGTGACCATTCAAACCTCTATTTTCTCAGACCTTTGTGAAATCTCCTACTCTAAAGCTGAGTCTCAGCCTTACTTTCCAAGATGTTGTGAGCACGGAGATACCATGGTGACTTTCTCCTAGATTTGTCATTGGATTCTTTTTTAATATGTAAGGATAAATCTTGAAAATAAAGACATTTATAGCATCTACTGTGAGAAACATAATTTTTCCAGCTATACTAAAGGGTAGCTGAAGATATGTGATGTGAGTTGACCTAGAACAAATTGACATATTGTCCTTTTTTAAGCAACTGTCAGTGGTGTTGGGGGCTGAAAATGAATCAGTCAGTGTAGGTATAGCAAGAATGGGAAGTTTGAGGTTGGACCTGGGATTGCCTAGGTCTACTGGGAGGCTGTTGAAATGAGGCTTAGAGGATGGGCTACAATACTGCTGATTTCAGTGAAAATAAAGGACAGCAGTGTCCATGGGAGCCAGTGACTGAGCAAGATGAAAGCAGAGGTAGGGAGATTCTGATTGCTGGGGTGTGCTAGAGAAGGCAGTCACTGGGTGGGTCCCCTCAGCTCTCTCTCCTTTGTCACCTATGTGGGCACCATAGAGCTAGCAGTTAGATTATCAAATGTGTTTCTGATGGGAGTGAATACTTGTGCTGTTCTGTTCAGTTTTAATACATAATGAATTTCTTTTAGGGGATATTTATAAATCAAAGAGATGATGCAATCACATTAGTAAATTAAGTTATATTTAGTAGAGAAAGAAACCAGAGACCAAGTTGGTAGAAAAAGCAAATAGGAGGGTTAGTATTTTTCTGGAGGTCTTTCCTACA